GAGGTACTGGAGTAGGGAGTTCCCGAACCAGTATAAAATCGGTGTGCATTTTATTTACGCTTTTGTTTCTGCATTTTATATATTGTTTTCGCATTTGCCAACACCGTTTTTATTAAACTCCGAAAAGATTTTAAAACGCCTTACTCACCCCCCCTCTAAGGCGTGGGCACAACAACTAAACCGATAACAAACTGTTCCCCAATTCTCACCAGTACATTGCCGGTTACCTGGTCAGATGCAAGAAGGTAGGGGTGAAGCCTACCCTTGACAACTTCCTGTTTACCTTCAAACTGACCAAAGGTCATGGGGATTGGGCGTCCTATGCGAGCCTTTCCCAACGGTCCAGCAAGCTTTTTACTAGCGACAAGAAGGGGTCGACCAAGGACTGGAAGTCCTTCTTTGTCTTTTTCTCGACGGGGCCCGAATCTCCTTTCACGGGTTTGGGGCTCCCATCCTTCCATCGCGTTCCGTGTCCCCCATCCAATGCCACCCTTCTATCCATCACCCGGAAACTCTGCGACCAGGGGGGCCGTCGAGATTAAGAAGGTGGTGACTGAGGAGTCTCTAGCAGCGCTGGGGTTTGAGTTTGTCCAAGACGAGCATCGCCATCAGCCTAACCTGCTAAGGGATGCTCCCGGGGGAAGCGTTGACTGTGGTCCTTTTGGTAATTTCCTTCTTTTTATTAGGGATCTCAAGTTTATTTCCTTTGGGGATTAACCGTTCCATCTGTTTTCAGTTGAGCCACCATGGTTAGAAGAAGAGATGGACGGTGATCTTTTGATCGGTCATTTTATTGTGGGGAGGAAGAGGAAGAGGGATGCAACCCGGCAAAGCAAAAGAAAGCGTTCTTCCTCGTGCGGGGAAGATAACCCCCTCGCGGGAGTAGGTCGTGATCGAGGTGGAAGACCAGGATGACGCGGCTCTAGAAACGGGGATGATGGCGATCAGCTCCCCACCGCGCTCCCTGATGCTTGGTGGCAACCTAGCAGGGTTGTCCCGGAGAGCCTTCTCGGAGCGACCTCCTTCCCCACCTGTAGTGACCTACGAGGTGGCGACCGAGGGTCGCTCGACGAGGTTTAGCATTCCTCCCCCGTCCCCAAGCCTAGGGGACGTGCAACTGGAGACCGTGGTCACCTTGCCCACTCAGGATCGAGCTCGCATCTCGCTCGGTTCTTAGGATGACCTCAACAACATGGTTCTTCTGAAGCTTAGCCAGGTATTCACCTTAACTCCCTTCTCACCTCCCTCCATATTACATTCCTGACTCTTTAAGTTTTGATTTAGGCCATGCTGGGGATGATCGAGCTCGTCGGCCGGAGGCAAGATCGCCAAGCGGCTATGGACGAGGCGAAGAAGGCTGCAGAAGACAAGTAGAGGGAGCTGCAGGAGGAGGTTGCTCACCTCGCAAGGGAGTTGGAAGAAGAGAAGAGTCGCTCTGCCACCCTTGAGACAGAGAACGCCTCCTTGTCTTCTGAAGTGGGGTCCGTTTCTGCCCGCGTAGCTGAGTTGGAAGTGGGGTCCGTTTCTGCCCACGGAGAAGACCTTCAACTGGGGACTCTTCCAAGCCTAGCTGGTCTTTTGCGACAAGTTAGCTCGGCTTCCCAAAGGAATCTCCTTCCCCGATCTCGGTCTTCCTCCTCCTTGTCGTGCCTTTGCTGAGTTCGACCCCAGTCCTTACTTGGACGAGGGGAGCTCGAGTGCCTCTAACGAAGAAGAAGAAGCAGCTGCGCTGGGCGACCAAGATGGGCAAGGCGACCAGGGACCTGGGGCCAACCTGGCGACGTCCAAGGCGAGCGGAGGCACCAGCTCGGGCATATGATCCATTCCATCTTCCCCTTGTTTTTTTTCCTTTAGACTTGTAAAAACTTATGATTTTTTGGGATGCCTTGGTGTTTTGATACAATATTCCCAAGTTTGCTGTTTTGCTTTATTTGCCACGTGCCTTTACTTTTCTTGTGCTTTGCTGCTGTACTCTTTCCTTTAAGTTGACTCACCTTGTGGATATGGATGGGCCTTTAGTCTGGGCCCAACTTTTATTTCTGGCCCAACGGCACGTCTAGGCCCAGCCTCGGGACCAGTTGCCGTGCCGCCCAACTGTCCCAATGCATTCCATACAGCCCTTGATTGGACCATTGCGCTGCTCAAGTTTACTTTATCGGTTCAGCTGCCTTGGGACTTGACCGTCTCTTCGGTTTCTTCACCCGGGGCTCTTTATAAGCCCCCATTCTTTGCTGGACTCCCCCATCAAACACCTTCTCTTTCTCCATTTTTGCCATGTCTAAAGAAGTTCCTACTTCTTTGAATCTTTCCGATGGGCCATCCCCTTCTTCGCCGGAGCCTGCCTCCTCCCCCAAGTCCGTTAACTCCAAAGATTGGGGGGCGAGACCCCTACGAATTCTGCCGCCAGTTGCCTCGCCGGTAGTGGCCCTCGGTTAAACCGCCGCCCATTCCACCAAACCCTTATGATGACTTCAGCGCGGTGTCTAGGGCACTTTTAGCCAACTGGTTGCCAAACGGAGAGGTTGACTGTGCCCCATCCACCAATGGCATTATGCGGCTTGGAAGAGCGTGCACGATGAGCACTTTCCCCTCTTGGAGCATGAAGGGGCATATTACACGAGTCTGGAGTAGTGGACTAGCGAGAGTCGCACCAACTCGCCAGTGCGGCCTAAAGAAGAGGTTGTGGTGGGGGAAGAACTGGGTTATCCCCTACCACGCCCCGCTGGTCGCTCGCCCCCCCGAAAGGCTCCTAAACGACCAGGAGTAGCTCGAGATGCCTCAGGGTCTTCATCCTCATCTAGGTGATTCCGATTGGGGCTCACAAAAAAGAGAGTCGCCTCCCCTCCTTCTTCTGTAGGAGAAGGACGGGGGTTTTTGCTGCGGCTAGGGGGCGACCACCTTTTTTCTATGTTGGAGAAGAGAGGTGGTCGCTCGTAGCGACTGGTGGTTGGGGTTCTGTCTGCCTATTCAGCTGCAGAACTACCCATCACCTTGCCTTTTCCCTTGTATTTTTCTTCCTTTCCAGGCTTCGGCCGCGCAGGCTTTGAGTTTTCTCTCTTGAATTCATGTAATATGTAGGGAAATTGTTCTCAATTGTATTGGATATGTAGATGCAAAAGGTGATTCTTGATGTGTAATAGATGTTTTCATGAATGTACTTCGATGTTACTTGTCTACTTACAAGTCCCATTCTTCTTTTCAAGTTGTCTTTTGCACCTTATTTCAAGCATTCAGGTCTCCTCAACCTTTAATTGGGAAAACCCCCTGCTTCCTTTGACTTAGCCGTTCCTGGGGCCTTTTTGCTCCCTCGGCGTCGCCATGTCCTTCACGAGTCCCCCGGTCGCCCAGGCGACCATTGGATCTCATGTTCTAGACCTAGCCGTTTCTAAGGCTTTTTCGCCACGGCGTCGCCCCTCTCTATAGGGCGTGTTATCCTACCGGTCGCCCTAGCGACTGTAGATCAAGCACCCACTGATAGCCTATGGACTTGGTTACTAACTGGGTTCAGCACTTTATCCCTTGATGTCTGTAGCTTAAAGGTTCCATCGGCCAACATTTCCTTTATGATGTATGGCCCTTCAAAACTCTTAGCGAACTCCCCCCTGTCGGTCGGCCGACTGACCTCCCTTTTCCTTAGGACCCAATCGCCCGTTTTGAACTATCTTGGTCGCACCCTCTGATCATGATATGACTTAACCTGCTGACGGTAGTTCTCTGCCCGGATGTAGGCCCTTTCTCTTCGCTCGTCTATGAGATGTAAGTCCGCCCTTAAGCTTTCTTCGTTCTCTTGTGCATCAAACGTCTCCACTCTATGACTTAGCAATGAGGTTTCAGGTGGAGCCCTTGCCTCGAACCCATATGTGAGCGCAAACGGCGTTTCCCCCGTGGCCTTCCTCGGGGTGGTCCTATAGGTCCATCGGATGTAAAGCAACTCTTCTACCCACGCACTTTTGCACTCCATTATCTTCTCTTTCAAGCCATCTACAATGGTGCGATTAGTATTCTCGACCTGCCCATTGGTTTGTGGGTACCCGACCGCAGCATAGCTATGTTTTATGCCCCAACTCTGCAGAAACTCATTGAACCCCTAGCCTCAAATTGGGTTCCATTGTCAGTGATGATCTGCTGGGGCACCCCAAAGCGGCACAAAATTTGTTTAGACACAAACCTCCTCATCTACTCCTTGGTGATGGTCGGTATTGGGGCGGCCTCGACCCATTTGGTAAAGTAGTCGATCGCGACCACCAAGTACATGTTATTTCCTGCCCCCCTGGGCAAGATGCCCACCAGATCAATGCCCTATCGAGCAAAGGGAATCGCCGTGCTGATCGGGGTGTAATTCGTTGCTGGTCGCCCTGGTACCCTTTGAAACTGTAACGCCCTAAAAACCGGTCTAGAAGTTATTCGCTATTTAAATAAATAAGAATTATTTATTTACGATAATTTGTTCTTTTAAAAGAATTAAAAGATATTTTAGAGATTCTAATTGTCTCAATATAACGAGACTAATTCGATTATATTTTAGAGATTTAAAGTAAAAGACTAATCAGTATTAATTAAGCAAAAGTATTAAGACGGATCAAGTAGAACTGGTAAATGTTGTCGTCTGACCATAAAAGTTATATCGTTGGGTAGGGATCAACGAATCGAATCCAACGAAGTGAACGGATCTCAATTTGGAGCAAGTTGGCCCAAAAAGTGTGTTTTTACTCAGACACATTATTTTAAATTAAGGAGTACAAAACCCTAGAAATATAAATACTCCCCTTTTCCGTTTTCTTCTTCTTCTTCGATGAGAACCGCCGCCTCACCCTTCTTCTTCCCCGATCGAACAGCAGCGGCAGTGACCACGACCGGCGCTCTTCTCCTCCTACGCGACTCAACAGCGACGACGGCCGCCAGAGCCTTCTTCTCTGACCAAGCACCGCGGCGCAGACCCCGGGTTCCCCCTCCTCTGATTGAGATGCAGCGGCAACCAACACACGAGATGGCGAGTGACGACGATGGGTTGTCGTCCAGCGGCAATCAGCGACCTCCTTCCGCCAACCAAAAGCCGGCAACCAGCAGCGGGTTCAAGCGACATGACTGCACCCCAGCGACCGGTGCAGGCAGTTCCCTCCGGCGGTCTCTCTCCCTATTCCGGCGACCTCCGCGAGGGTGGTGACGCGATTGGCGAATCAGCGACCTTCGTGCCCCGGCGACAGAGTTTGGGCAGCGGTGATTAGGTTTGGCACCCACGGTTGACTCCGGGCAGCGATGCCGAGTTTGGACAGCGAGACGACGCGGTGTCGTGGTAGCTCTGATGATCAACTCCGGCGACGATTGGCGAGGAAGGAAGCGACCTTGCAATGCTGGCGACCCTCCAACGCTGGAGACAGTGACAATTTCGTCCAGGCAGTAGTGAAGCCAGGCGCGACCCTATAAGCTTGAGCAGCGGATTGACCGGCCATTGATGACAGCGTCCGGCGAATGGACTGCAACAACTCCGGCAATCTCCCTCCTTGTTCCAGCGTCCGGCGAATGGACTGCAACAACTCCGGCAATCTCCCTCCTTGTTCCATCCCGTCCGCGCAGCATTGGTAACAGGGACAGTAGTACCGGTTCGGGCAGCGGGACGGGTCTGTTCCGACAATGGATTTCAAACGACGTTCTTTCAAATTGAATCGAAATAAATCGAGGTGAGTACGTGGACATCTAACACTAGAATATGCATGTATGTTTGAAATTCCGTTCATAATTGTTAACGTGATTGATCTATGTGATTTACCTGTGTAATTGTTGGTTATGGTTTCGGGAATTGTTGTCGTGGAATCAAAATGGTAGTATGCATGACTTAGGCGTTGATTGATGAATTAATATGCTTGATAATATTTAGTATGTTAATATGAACCTATTGGTGTTTGTCGTTATGAGATTTCTGTTGGTCTGATGCTGGAAACGAAACAGGTATGATTATGGATTTTGTTGCGTCATGCAGTAGGCGGTACCGCCAAGACGGTACCGTGCTACCGTCACACTCTGTATGATTACGTTCTCTCTGCCGGTAGCTGTGACCGTTTGGTACCTAGGTACCAGACGGACGGTAGGCCCTACCGCCTAGTCGGTAGTCGGCTACCGTGACAGTCCTACCGGAGGAGCCCAGATGGTTCAGACGGTACCCCAGGTACCGTAGGACCGGTACCCAGGTACCGTATGGACGACCATGGGGGAGAGTTCGAACCATGGACCGGTACCCAGGTACCGTATGGACGACCCAAGTACCCAAGACACAACCATAGTAGCCATAAGAAGCGACCATGGGGGAGAGTTCTAACGAAATCTATTTTCAGACTTATGTGACGAACTTGGCATTGATCATAACTTCTCAGCCCCACGTACACAACAACAAAACGGAGTGGTGGAACGTAAAAATAGATGTCTCGAAGAGATGGCTAGAACTATGATCAATGAGGCAAAAATCCCTAAGTATTTTTGGGCAGATGCCGTGAGTACCGCGAGCTACGTGTTAAACCGAGCCGTCATTCGACCGATACTCTTGAAAACGCCTTATGAATTATACAAAGGGAGAAAGCCAAACCTTTCCCATCTTCGAGTCTTTGGTTGCAAATGTTTTGTTCATAATAACAGAAAAGATAACTTGGGAAAATTTGATGCCAAGTCGGATGAAGGGATTTTTCTCGGTTACTCACTTCGTAGCAAGGCCTATAGATGTTGGGTTATTCGGTGAAGGCTTTAGAGCTGTGGGCTTTAAGCCTGGTCGGCTAAAGGGAAGAAACATGGGGGGCCGGTTTTAGTTATTAATTAAAGGGCCCATTAGTTGTTTCTTGTTTAGCAAGTTGTTAACCCTAGTTTATATCTTATAAATACCCAATCATGTAACTATAATCTGTGAGCACCTAATAAAAGATAAACCCTAGCTGCAACCCGTGGAGGTTACTGACCGAACCACGTTAAATCTCGTGTTCTTATTTTCTGCTATTTGTGTGTGTGTGTTTGTTCGCTTCCGCTTGACCGCCTCTGATCTCTGATTCCTAACAA